ATTGGTGGTGCTTTCAGTGGAAAAAAGGCATGTTTAGCCATCCCAGCATTCTTTAATTTTGAACTTCATCACAGTGCCACTGTGGATCTCAGAATACCTGCATATTACTGCTGAGATACAGTTAGTGCCTCCCTGGGTCAGCCTGGCTCAAGAGGTGCAGAGCTCCACCAGCCCAGTGCTGCTTATCCCTTTGTAGGTGGTATTTTTTAAGGTACAGTGAAGTTTTATAGCCACCTGGCCATGCTGAGCTCAGAGCAGGGGAGCACTTGCATCACCTGGTAAAGAGAGCTTGCCTTCTATTACCGAGGAAATTTCCCCCGTGTTCTCTTTCCATGAAGGTGAGAACATCTTTAAGACTTACATTTTTGCTTCTGATGCAATTGATTGATTATTGCCTACTTTTGTGAGCAGTAGTATCTTAGAGGGAGCTGGGAAATGCTTTTTGCTCAAAATCAGGATGTTGAACCATCAGCTTTCTGCACAGAGCTGCAGGAGACTCAACTTCCTTCCGAGCAGGTGGCTGAGGAGGGACATGGGAGGCCCTGCCTGTCGGGGAGGGACGCTGCTGCCAGAAGAGAAGCAGTGACTGCTGACTGCCAGCCTTACTGATGGAGCATGTCAGGAGCCCAAAACCTGTGTTCCTCTCAGAGCTGTGATATTCTTAATTCACTGCTTGGCAGTGTCTTTATTTCAGAGACAGATAGGGATGGGCCCCCTCCTATTGAAGCTTCCTCAGTTTGATCAGGGAGACCTTATTGCTCTCTCCAGCTACCTTGAAGGAGGTTGTAGTGAGCTGGGAGTTGGTCTCTTCTCTCTGGTAACAAGTGAAAGGACAAGAGGAAATGGCCTCCAGATGTGCCAAGGGAGGTTTAGATTGAATATTAGTGAAAATTTCTTCACTATACGGGTTTTCAAGCATTGGAATAGGCTGCCCAGGGAAGTTTTGGAGTCACCATCCCTGGAGGTATTTAGGAAACATTTAGATGTGACACTTAGTGGCCTGGTTTAGTGCTGGACTTGGTAGTGTTGGGTTAGTGGTTGGACTTGATGATTTTAAAGGTCACTTTGAACCTAAATGATATTATAACTTTATGTTGTAGTGTAGATTATAGCCAATGGTGGTGGGTTGACTGTGACTGACAACTAAGTTCCACAGTGAGAAAAAGGCTCATGGACTGAGGTAAAGCCAGTTTAATAAGTGAGGAAAACAAAAACAAGCCATAGAAAAAGAAAAATTCAAGTGATACAAAGTGAACCATTCAGCCAGTACAGCAGTTTAGTACCAGATGCAGTGACTGCTAGAACTGGCATGATTTTGCTTTACCTCCTAATTGTTGGCAAAGAGATTTCCCTTCTCCAGAAGTCTCCCCACTGACACTGCATTTCCTTCCGCAGGCACTGTGCTCAGACTTGCACAGGCATGTGGGTTTTACTGTAGAGGCTGCTCCCGTTAAGCAACTGTAGCCAGAGCTCCCCCAGTTGTTTGTAGAACAAGGAGATACTGTGCTTGTAAGATCACAACTATCAGCCCTGTTTTACGATTTTTATGAGCATTAATGGAACAAGGTTTGGGGACTGAAGGAGAAAATGGAATATGGAAAGGAAAATGAAAAGAGGCTGTGAGGAAAGCATGTCATTTCTAAATGAATGCTCTGTGCAGAGGAATTGAATCTTTTCACAGCTGAAAATGGATCTTAAATCTGATGCCTTAGCTTGTTTCAGCTTCTGTAATGAAATAGAGTTTTCCTAATACCCTGTGACCTGAATTTCTCCCTGCTTTATGGGTGCTATTCCTTGACGTACAAACCTGTATTTTCTCAAGTCAGCATTTGATGATGGATGTCAAAATACAGGTCATGTATTATGCATATAGCATTACGGATTTAAGGTGTTTACTTGTCAAGTTGAAGAAATTCAAAAATGTCACATTCACTGAATCTGCACAGCTGTCACTTGTAGTTTTTCATGCCTTTAAATGAAAGTTCTGATAAAGCAGGTTAGTTTCCTGCACTTTTTTTTTTGTTTTCTCTTCTGGAGGAAAAAAAAAAATAGACAGCCTGTGTATGGAAATTAGTTTGTGACTTGGGAGTAGGAATGTGTCTTGAAGGTGTTTGATGGCTTGTGACTCCAAACATAAGCACACAAAATCCCCAAATATTTCATTTTCCTGAAAATACGATTTTTATATTACTTAAAAGTAAATTTCTAGAAGTGTCTGAATTAAGTATGAACAAGGAAATTAAATTATCAGATACTTCTCACGTCTTTCAAGACAGTAGGATGAAAAATATTAAGGCACAAGTCTATTTTTCATTCAAGGAGAAAACACAATCCCTTTAACATGCTTCCTGCATTTCAGACTGAATGCACTATGTGTGCAGTGTGCAATTACAGAGCTTCTGACAGTCTGTGTCTAACAAAAATGCCACATTTACTTCAATCTTCTGACACCATCCCAGGAAGACAAATATTCTAAGGGTTAGAGAGGTGGCTACAAATGGCCTTTGATGGAGAGTGAGCGTGTCTCTGTGTATGTGCACATTGCAGTGAAGGGGAGGCAGGAAGAACTTGCACATTTAGCTGAGTTACACTGGCTTACTTCAATTTGCTTTTAACTGGTAGGGAAATACTGCTGTGCTCGTACAATCTGAAGGGCCTGATTCACTAGCAGGTAGTTTAGCAAGTGCGTTCTGAAATGTGGGGAGAAAGGCTTCAGAAAAAAAGGGAGAAGCAGAGCCTCCAGAGATACTCGGAGCAGTACAATCCCCGGAGTGCATGAGAACAATATTAGTTTTGTTTACTTTTAGAGAAGGGAGCATTAAAAGTCTTGCTGTTGCCATTTTGACTTGTAATTCAGCAGGAGACCCAGCTGGGCCTGCCACCTTAACTGCTCAAGGAATCTGCAGCTGCCTGAGCTTTTTCTAATGTGACAAAGGCTGTATCTTGCATCTCCTGAAAGAATGCATCCCATAACAGGATACAAGGCTTGAAACACTGGATCCTGCTGCAGAAGGAGGTGTCACACTAATACCCACCTGTCCTCAGATAGCATTTCCTCCCTTTGGAGTCCCACTTTAATTTTTCTGCTGTTGTGAGAGTGTCAGTGTTACCTGTAACTTACAAGGTGGTGACTGAAAAACCTCTGTCAGACTCAGTTGGTGAGCCTGAGGAATCTCAGGCTCTGCCATGAAGAGGTAAACATTCAAAGAGCCAAATCAGCTCTCAGTCATAGTGCTAGATACAAGGAAACATCTGCAAACTGAAAGTGGCTGGGGCTGCAACTCACTGTCACCAAGCTGGTCTTCCTGAGTTCAGCACCACAGGTGGTGTTACGTGATTGACTGTTAACATTTCCAAATGCCTCTAAGAAATCTGCTTTATCAAGATTTTCTATCCACTGGTAATATTGTATAGAATTGCTCTAATGACTTAGGTTTCTCTATGACATTGTTTTGTCTTGCAAGCCTGTTGAAGATATCATAGCCGCTTCTTTTCTCCTGAAGAATTTCTTCACAGAGTTTCACTCCCTTTTTAAGCTATCCTGTCTGTACAATCACCATGCTGCACCTAGTTTACTTGTGATAGTCAGAATGAAATTCATACCAGTACCTTCTGCAGAGCTAAGAAGGTCCCTTCCCAGTGATTCTAGTTTTATTACCTGTATATGCTCTATGCAATAGAGACAAAACATAGAGATAGATGAATGGAAGGAGGAAACTAAATCCTGTTAAATCAATAAGCCCAGATCTAGTGGTCCTTGTGGTTTAGGAGCAGTTTAAGAGTGATGTAATTATCACTGGAAGAGAACTGTAAGTCCTTAAGACAATATAAAACCAGTATGATATGCTAACAACAACAATTTAGTTCGGAGATTTCCTGGTTTGTAAATTGGTCTCCAAATTACAGGTAAGGTATCATATCATCTTCCTCTGAATTCAGTACCAGGCGAATGTATCAATGAATTTAATGGAGCAAAACAACTTCCACACAGCAAGAAGATAGTGAATTTAAGTCAGGAATTAATCTGGCTGTGATTAGTTGAGAATAAGTGTATGGAGAATTCAGAACTAGTGATAAAGGACCAAAAGTCTGTCTCTGGATGTCAGATGTGAAGTCAAAGAACTTGGGAATAATATGGCAAAAAAAAAAAAAAAATAATGTCTTTTTTTTTAAAGGTGGTTTAAAGTAAACTTGGCTCAGTTTTATTCCTAGCAGACAAATATTTGTCTAAAAATGCTGTCTTTATATTGGTTTATATGAAACCATAAAGTCACTGTCTAGCTTTGCCATCACTTCTGCAATGACATTAAATGAGCATTCCCAGGTTTTCTATAGCTTTACTGGACAAGGGGGATGGAATGCATTAGTCTCAGTGCTGAATGTCCAGTCCTGCTATTGCATAGGGTTTTGCATAACTACCCAATATTTAGTACTTACAATCAAACTCCAAAAGGTCTTTCTTGGGTAGTTTTTGTTTAAAGAAAAAAAATAGATAAAAAACTCAATGTTTTTGAGCTCCATATCAAACTGTTGAGTATCTGGCTGAAAACAGTATTTTTTAAAGGTGAATGTTGCTGGTCTCCAGATTTTTTTTTTCTTGTGAGTGCCTTCCGACTTGTTTCTTCTCCCACCTTTGTTTCCTTCAAATTGTCACTGTTTCCAGTTCTTTTCAAGCAATCCTCTCACATACAATTTGAAAACCTGTGTCTTTTCCTTTCATCCTATCTTTTTGTCTTGTAGACTGGACCCTTCCATCCCAAAATTCCTACAATTGTAATCCTCATAAAAAGGCATATTATAAATGGTACATATGAAAATTACAAAAAGCCTGCCATGGTTGTATTACCACTTACAAGCAGTACTTTTTAAAATATTAATTGCTGTTTAAGGAAAGGGGTTTGCTTCAGAATTTTTTCTTGCTTGGTGTGGTTTGTCCTCTGTAAACTTTCCCTATTTTTTACTCATCTTTTCTTTTCTTTTTTTTTTTTTTTCCCTTTTAGGCTTTACACCCCCTGGGATGGATAGGACGTCTCCAGACAATAGTCCAGTCCATGGCCTTTTACGTCAACCCTCTATTACAACAGGAGCCAACATCCCTATTATAACAGAGCTAGGTAAGAAAAGCTAAAATTTATCCTTCCATGTATATTTCCTTGTCTTTTTCCCACTTTCCTTGTTATGCAGATACAGAAAAATTACCAATACTGGATCTTACACTGTTGCATTTTCTCTTTTGATAACTGTTTTATATTACTCTCTCTAAAGAAAGTTTAGTAACAGTTGGTTCACTTTATTTGAATAACTGAAATATATTTCCCTCCTTTGGGTTTTCTCTGTTTTCTTAAATAAATATTCTATCAGACAAGATGCTTCTTGCATAGTGTAACAAACAAGCAGGGGTCTTTGGGCTAAGTTAGAAAAGGAAAAAGGCCAGAGTAAGTATAAGCAGATATTTCCTGTGCATTTAATCAATTGTAAGAGGCCATTTGTTTATTTCTTCATGGTCCAAAACTGTTTAATCATGTGTAACCAAACCTGTATAATAGTATGAGATATTTCACTCCTGAGAATATGATGATGGTAGGTAACTAGACTCTGATTTCCACTCTAGCTGTGGGTATTTATGTTGTCAAGCAGTGTGATGTGAAGTGCAGAAGCTGTTCTGTTTTTTTCATAGCAAATATAAACTTGATTTGTGGTCCTTTGTCCTTCTGTTTTCTTTTTCAGTTTTATTTTTTAGCCTTACCTGTCTTTTTCCCTTACTTTATTCTCTTTCTGTACTTTCTTTTCCCCCTAAATCCTTTACTTACTAGCTAAGCCTGGCAAACTTCTGCCTTTGGTTTCAATCAGTCAGGAAAAAAACAGTGGAACCCACATTCTAATGATAACTGAACTGGGTAAGAAGTGCCTTTTTCCTTCACATCACTGTGTTATTTTCTGTTGTTGTTCTTACTGTCATCAGCTTTTCCTTTATTTATCTGGCTGTATCAGAGGGGCTACCCTCATGGCACTGCTTTGAATGTGTTTTATTTGTGGTTCTGGTTGAAATTGACTGTCTTGTTCTGGTCTTCTTAATGATTTTTTTTTTCACGCAGCATCAGTAAACCTTTGATCACTCTCGTCTGACCTGCCGGCTGTTTTCATAGCACCTCCTCACCAATTCATTTTTTTGGCCTAAGTCCCCACCTCCCTGGCCCTCACTCTCCTACGCCAGTTTTTCTCTTCTTTTCTCTCTTCTTTCTCTTTCTTTTTGTTACTTCAGCCTGTTGTCAATTTGGTGGACATGCCTTAGCAGCTTTTCACAGGAAGTCCAAGAAGAAGTAAAAGATACCAGAAAAAACCCCAAGCATCATACTTTCCCTCAAGCTATTTTTATGTTTATTTTGTAGAGTAAGGCTTTTTCTCAGGAGCTCAGGTTTTGAAGCTGTAGAGGAGCAGCCAAGCTCCTGCGTGGTTCCCTCTCAACACAGAGTGCTCTCCCCAGCCTTTGGAGCAGCGTTTGATGAGCTTTTCCCTGTGGCACAGCACCACCTGTTTGCACCCAGCTCTCCTGGCCCACAAATCCCAGTGTGCTAACTTGCATCAGGAAGATAAAGATACTGAGGATAAACCCACACCTGCAGAATTCCTAACAGGTTTTTAGTACCTCAGGAACTGACCCCATGGATGCCTAGCACGGTGTTTAAGTCAGGTGGTAATCTGCCAGATGGAAGTGGAAAAAGAGTGCTGCTGTCAATAGTGCCTACTCTCAGCTAGCAAATTAAACTGAGGTACAAGCTGTTCAAATGCATTTTGATACAGCAGGCTTTCAAATACTGTACTGCTTAAGAATCTAGAGATTAAATTGATAGGCATTGTACTGAAAAAAGAAGTATTGTGGATCCTGGTGTTTTCTTGGATGAATGTCTTCTGATTCCCAGGGCAGAACATTTCTCTTATTACAGTACTAAGGAGTTGTGTTTTAACAGTTACATCAAGGAGCACAAAGGCAAGAATTTTAAATTCTATCCTCATCTCATTTAGACAGCTATCAAGAGGCTTTATCTGCAGTAATTCATGTTTTGTAAGTTAAAGATAGCAAGCACAGTGGAGAGTTTGGAAAAGGAGTGGATGTTCAAGAAAACTATATGGGAAGGATTGAAACTGTATGAGAAGGAAGATCAGAATAGTAGGCAGAAGAATTTCTAACTTTAGAAGTCCAGAGCTGAAATTTGATCAAGTTAGCAGCAGTTCTCATGTTATTTTCAAAGTTTGCTGGGTTAGCTCAGGAGATATGTTCACATGGGGAATAGGGATATCATCAGTGTGTGCAGTTTTAAATGCTCAAAAAGTTTTTCATTTCCCTTTCTTGCATGGGAACTGAAATTAATTTGTCATTTAATAAGTTGAAGGGTATTTCAATGGCATAGCTAAGCAGTCTGTGCTTTCATGCCTAAGGGAAACTAATATGGAAATGGAATATTTCATGAAATATGATCCACTTGATACACTGATCTCAAGGAAACAACTATTTTTGATTGGAATGAGTTGGAGGCAGAGGGCTTAACTGCGACAATGAAATGCCAGAGAAACTCAAAATGACAAATACTACTTTTTTTGGGCTTTTCTCTAAAACAGCCTGATTTAGATTCTTTTTCACACTGGCTAATGTAGAATTTGTGGCTAAGAAAGTGAAGTTATAGAGACAAATATTTGAACAAAAGGCAGTGCTGCAAGAGAATAGCTGCTCATTCATTCAGATAGATGCATGTTAAAGGGACAGTTTATCCTCTTTTGAGCCCTAAGTGCATTAACACCACTCCAGTAAGAATCACAGCAGCACATCTAACAGATGCCTGTGGGCTATATCAGAATGTTATTGACAGCCTGTATTTTACAACGGGGTTTTAACTTTGTATCTTGTGATAGCATTTCACTGTACACACATACAGCCTCAGCCACTGTACCCCACCTATGTACCAAGACTCTCTCAATAAACAGGTGTATGATATATCTAATTTTGAGCACAGGCAACTGGTGCCTCGAAGCTGCTTTACAGGGAAGGGCTAGGAACCTGTCAAGAACAAGAGTGTCACCTCTTATGAGCAAGAAAACGAGAAACATATTTTTAAATGCACATTTTCACATCCATCTTGATTTCATTTTCAGTGACGTCAACGACACAAGTCTGTGTTTCCAGACATATGCCGTTTCTTTTTCTTTGGCTGTGTGATGTGTGAGGTCACATGCTGGTGACCCAGAAACACCTTTCGATTTTACTCTTAATATTATTATTGTTATTTTCAGTAAATGATTCAAATGTTCAGTTCTTGGACCAAGATGATGATGATGACCCCGACACAGAACTGTATCTCACGCAGCCTTTTGCATGTGGAACCGCATTTGCCGTCAGCGTGCTGGACTCTCTCATGAGCGCAGTAAGCAAACAAATTTTTTTCATTCCCTTCTATCAGACTTGTTGTGAAAGAGTGTAAAGGTGTAGAATCTTTTCCACAGGTAGGCAGGAGAAGGTGCTTTTTTCTTAGATGTCAAAAGAATTTTTGCAACCTAAGCTAGTTTATTTTCTTAGTTGGACTCGGAGACCATAACTGATTTATCTAGGACTTCTGAGAGTCCACAATTTTATAAGGAAACACTCTCATGTCAGTTTTTAAGGATCATGCGTTCCAAAAAAATTGTCCCTTCTGCCTAAAATCCAGACCCAAATGCAGTGTGTCAGTCCCTGTGCTCACCATTCTTGTCAGACAGCATCAACTGTGTTTTGAGCTTTTAATTTCCTGTAGCTATGAGCAATGCTCTCAGTATGAGTGCTGGGGGACAATGATAGAGCTCCATGAAAGCCATTGTACACACCTCATGAACTCTATTTGTGTGAAGAGAGGTTATCCTCTCTTTTTCATATGAATTTTCTTATTAATCAAAACTTCAGTGCATGCCAGAAACTACAGATGGTGGCCTTTGGTTATGTCTACACTGGGGCTTTTGTTTTGCAACCATAGCACAGTTCTGAAGCAAACCCCTCAGTCATGCTCCTTTTCATCCTCCTCATATTGGCTAAGTTTTCAGACCAGTCTTGCTCTGTGTGTATTTTGTAGTTTTCGCTGCTATATTTTCCATATGTTCCATCCACAGATAAATGAGTCTACACAAATAAAATTTTATTCTGTTGCCCTAGGAGTTTTTGGTAATCTCAGAAAATGCTTTTCTTAAAAGTTATTTACAATATTTTGTAGATGTGACAAATTCAGAAAACCTAAGGAAGGACTCCTAAACTCTGTACCTTCTCTAATTAAAATATCTCTATATAAATTTTTTATTAAAAATGTTAAATATAAATAATATATAATTTTTATATATAATTTTTAATATAAATTCCCATTTATATTCACGTTATAAATGGGAATAATTTAACATGAAGGTTTCAAATGTTACTTACAGCTGTTTATCTACTCCCATTATTATCTAAGTCAATGTCTCTGAATGTATTGTTCAGTAGGGCACTTCAGAATCAAGAAAAAAAAGTAGAGTTGCCATAGAATGAGAGTGAGATACTGTGGACATCATTGCTTCCTTGTGCAAAGGTGTCTCAAGTAAATAATAGTGATGCAATGAAAAATAAATGCAGCATGCCTGTTCAGAAATTTTAATGTTTCCAGTTTAGTTTTGGACAACATACCCCTCTGTTTTTGCAGTTTCATTCTATAAAAGTCCTTTTTCTAAATATTTTCACATCTAAGTGGTCATTTCTCTGAAGCCAGAGAAATGCGATAACAAGTAGAAAATTCTCTACTTAAAAAAAAATACTAATCAAGAAGAAAGGCAAGGATTCAGTCCATTATAATTGTTCACTATCCTGTCTTTTCTTTCACCAGTTTTCTGATCAGTGGCAGTGTTATTTTCTCTTTATTCCTCAAAGGCCCAGCAAGGAGTTGGAAAAGTACAATTCTTCCTGACCCTTCAGAAAGTGTAAAATGTGTGAGATGTTTCTCCCTTTACTATCCATATTCTCATGGGGAAGGTGTGTTCTCCTTTCACTTCTTCTCCAAGGAAAAGAGTGTTTCTCACACAAACAAATCTATTTTCACTATATTATCTCTTACCTTTATTTTTTTTTTCCTAAATTACATTTGCTTTTAGCAAACAGCTTTTATTTAATGTCTTTAACTTCATAGTTGCCAGTATGGGTAAACTGAACCCCAAATCCTAGCTAAATTGTGAGATCTGTAGTCATGCTTTCATCCTATGGATGAATTCTTAACAGGAATTCTGTAAGAAGTATATAATGTGCACTCTGCTGTCTTTTTCCAGCTCACTTGGACGCAAGTATGTAGTTCATTATTCTATCTACTTAGTGATTCAGTGGGTTTTACTGCTTGTTTTTGATAGAAAAAAATCCACTTTATGATTTCTATTGATATCTCTGTTAGGAAAATTCCTTATGTGTACAATGCAAATGTTCATGAGGTGCTTCTTTAAGAATTCATCTCTTCCCACAGTAGTGGGGTTTTGTAGCAAAACAAGTGTAAGAAAGATTAGAAAGTCAAATAATAGCCATGCATACAGTATTATTTCTGACCTGTGGGTCATTTGAAACATGCATATAGATGTATGTATAGGGGAAAAGCTACAAAATAGATTTAAAATAATTTGCTTAAGTATTCAATTATTGGGAAATTAATAATAACAATAATATTACAGTATTAATCAGTGTTAAATTATTATTTTATTTTTTATAGTTTTATAATACTGAAGAGGTGCATTAAACCCAACTAATGAATCACAGATTAGAAAATGTGGTAACTTTCTAATTCAAGTGTTGTTCAGTGGGTGCTGGAGATCTTTACATTCTGCTAGTTTAGCATTATTTCCTAAAAGATGACAGTACCGGACATTTTAAGTTTGACATTTTCTGTTATTTCCTTACTTCCAAGGTAAATGCTTAATGCAGTTTAGTTTTCAAAGTGCCATGTACTGGTCATCTGCACACAGTTTGGCTTTGCAGCAAAGGCAGTATTTTCCACAGCCCAGGATTCACAGTGTAGCAGCTCAAGCACCATTGCTCAGAGGACAATAATAAGCTCAAAACCTGCACTCAGAACCTGTGTTTTGGAGGAGTTGGTAGCAGTGATCTCACCAGGTTTGGTTCAAGAGCTTTACTGTGCTCTGTGGGAAGGCTGTGGGCCTGGTTCATGTTTTAACTGTGGCAGTGGCTATTGTTAAAATGCTCCAGCTAATCGTGAATATGACTTTGAAGAGACACCTACTGCCATCAGGTACTTAAATGATATATTACTATTTCTTTTGCTCTAGTGTATTTGAACCTAGGGAAATAATACACGTTGTCTGTCAGTCTCAAGGCAACACCACTTCTGGAAAGCAGAGCATGCCTTCATCCCCAAGTGAAGTGTAACTAAAAAACGTGGGATTGGATGCATCTTTTAGATTATGTAATTGGTTTTTAAAAATGTTATCTTCAGCTACAGAAAAGTTATGTGATATAGGATAGTCAAAGGAGCAAATATTTGAGCAGAAATACTCCTTTCTTGGGTCTTGTTGAGATAGTTATTACGTAAAATCCTGTACATGAAGGAAACCAGTTTTCAACACACAGTACCTTCAAAGGTCTGAGCCGTTGGCCTGAGAGCCAAAGCTTCCCTGTTCCTCCTTCTGGCACTGGAGACACAAAGGACTGCAGCAGTTCTGGCAGGCTGGTGTCCCTCCCACACCTGCCACTGCAACAGACCCGAGCTGCTGTTGGAGACAAGGTTCTTCAGCACCAGATGATGCCACTTAACATTCACTACCCTGGAATTCATTTGCTTGTGCTAGAACTTCGGATCTTGATTGTTTTCTGTATTACCAAATCCTATTTTTCTTCATAAAAACAAAATTACAGAATGGAAGAAAATCATTAAAACGGTTTAAAATAAATTTTCATTATATTCTCTACTCAGGAGTTCTCCCTAAGGGATCCTCACAGTCTTATTTATAAAGAAAAGAAACTGTTCTAATCTTTGATATGAACACAAGACTACTTTTCATGTAATTCTGTTCAGAAAATTAGTAAGCAGCATCTTGCAATTTAAAGTGTCCCAAACTTCTTTAAACTTTTGACAATAGTTTAAGAATTAATAGATTTTCAAATGGTGAAATGCTGTTATTTATTGTCTGCTGTTTATTCTGACTCAAAGACCCTTTTGTTCTTGGTATGAATTACTGATTCATAATCATAAGAGCTCAATCATTCCTCAGGTTTGGATATATGTTATTCCTCCAACTGAATGAGAAAATAAGTTTAAAATATTTGTTCAAAACTGAGGTTAAAAACCACATGTAGTGTAGGAGGAGGAGTCTTCTTAAAAGAAATTCATTTAAAAACCCACTAGCAAACACAAAAAAGGCAGATATAACTTGAAAAATGACAATTTTAGTGTAATTATAAATGAAAGGCAAAGTGCTATTATAGTTAAAGAAATATTATTAAGATGTGCTAATTTTCAGTTAAATTTTCTGTAGAAGACCAATTAGTTTAAAAGACATGACAGCATTAACTGCAAAACATAAGCACTCTGGTAATTATACTTTAAAAAATGATTGAACAAATGGGAGAGCATCCTTGAAACATTTGAAAGAGCTACACTACAATTCCAAAGCAATGGCTAGGTGGCACTGCTAGTTCAGATATCTGTGTCACAATTTCCTTGCTATTTACCCAGCTTCAGTGTCTATGATGCATTTCTTTTTTTCCTGTGTTTAGAATACACCTATTTCATATTCTCATTCTGGATGCCTTTAAAGTGATATAACACACATGTCCAATGTGGGGTCTGGATCATGACAATAGCAAACAAGTATTTCTTCAGTTTTGATTTTACACTCAACAAAAGGGATTCTTTCCATCACTGGAAAGTGCCTTGTTACTTTAAGTACAACAGCACCTTTCCAAAGACATTCTGTAGATCAGTTTCTTATAAGTACTGGCATATTCAGGCCATGTACCCTCCCACAGAGCAAGTAGAAGATCACTCTCAAATTAATTTCAGTGTATTATTATTCCAAAGGAAATGGATATCAGCTAGTTCGGCTTTTCAGTGTTCTCCTAGTTCCAAACTGGCAAGATGTAATGAGGAGTCTGATTTTTGTGACAATCAAAAACACAGGCAGACAGCTTTTTTTTTGAGGAGTGTTAAATACTTTAGTACAGAAGGAAGCAGCCCTATTTAGCAGAAGGTGAGAAGTTACAGCTTCCTATTCACCCATCTTTTCATGCTTATGGCTGGGCATTTCATGATCAGATGCAGTGCTGCAGTTTGTTCTGAAACTTGGAATCTTTTCTCCCATTGATTACAAAAACAAAAACAAACCCCAAGAAATATCTGTTGGCTGCACTCATCCATCTAATTGAATGGTGCCTTCCACATCAGTCATGGTGTGAAACTCAAATTAAGCCATTGTTCCACAATAAATGCTGCTTCCTTTGCTAATAAGGGTCTTAGCTTTGCCTTAGAGGTATAGCACAGTGGGAAGAGTTGCCAAAGAGGGCAACTCTGATTTCATCTCATGGACATCAAGGAAGAAGTAATTGAAAAATAAACAATCATGCCTGAATGTCTTCTCTCTCTCAAAGTGGCAATTCCTATTAAACATCATGTAATCGCTCCAGACTTACATTCCTGCAAGGGGTCACATTGATTTTTCTATAAGAGAGGTTTGAGTATTACACTTGAATTGTTACCCAGTGCATCCACATGTGTAAGAGCTGAGTTGAGATTAGCTGTTGTTTTAGACTAGCTGAATCTTCGTGAACCTCAGCTTATGTCAGACTACTCCTTACAATCTGCTTTGTAGTTAAAATATGTACTGCCTTACCTAGGTTAACTTAAATAATTGGAGTTGATGAGATGCAAATATTTGCTTTAGGGCATGTATAACAGTAAGAATATGTTCCTCTCATTTTCATTTAGTCAACAGGTGAATGGCATATATGCCTATGTAAATAAGCAGAGAGGCTTGAAGTTAGGAAACTTCAATGTAAAGTGAAAAACATTGCTGCGTAGAACTCATTTTCTTCTGTTTTATCTGTCATCTCCAGCAAACAATGAAACTGAAGTTTCATTATACAAAGAAAGAATATCAAAGTAACATGGATAGGAAGCCAGTTCTGCTTTTTGATCTCAGGATAAAATATTTCAACCTCTACCTCAGTTTACCCATGTATTAAATACAGTTCCATTATTTGGATATAACAATGAATTTCATTGAAACGTATTATGTTAAAAGTCTTATCTTTAGGCAACAAGCACTGTTGGAGAATTCACTATTCATTTTTACTTGGTTGGATTACAGACATTTGTTCTGAGTCCTAAATACAACAAAATCCAGAAATCTAGTAATGTCAATCCTATGTACTCTACAATGAGCTCATTTTTTCCTTTTATGTTCCTTGCACTTACAAATCTTCTGAAAACTCAGACATTGGTGACATTATAAGTGACAGTATTTCTTTTTTTTTTTGTTCAACATTTTTTTTGCCCAGTACCATACACTGCAGATGTTTAACTGAGTATGTCTGAACTATACCAGTATACTTTTAAGTGAACTTGAAAGTCATTCATCTGGATTTAAATTAATATTTTAAATACCCATTGTTTGCCTGACAGACCAGCAATACTACAGATGCTGGCAAAATGTCAGTGTGGAGTAAATCTTCCCTAATAAACCACACTTACCCTATACCCTAGAGTTTTTTAAAAGGACCACCAGGATCCCAAACTCATCATACATTTATCTGGAGTGAACGCAAGATGTTTAATTGATACATGCTTGTGTCTGAACACTGTCAAGTCTCGTAATAAGATGTTTAGTACAATACATCGGTTAGACTGCTAGAGTCCAGCCACAGTAATAAGTAATGACATTTGCTGCACAAAGGCAGCTCCCCAACGAATTGGTGACAAGAGTAAAAAGGCAATCTAGCCTGTGTAAGCTTTAAATGTGGTCTGAATTTTACAATTACATGTCCTAAAGCCCATTATTAGACATGAGGGCGATGAGAAGGAAAGCAGTCATTGCATCACTACTAACACCAATTATAGGAAACATAAATCATTCAAATTTTTGTACTTTAATAAAAATCAGCCTGAATTGGTGTTTAAAAGGAAGGATCTAGTATAGGAGCCTAATGGGATAGAAGAAAATAGAGTAATTGGAGGCTGCTGTCTTTTCACTTTCTATATAAAATTATTTGAAGAGACAGCCAAGAACTTTAAACAGCAGAAACCCGGAAAAGTTGTAATTTGGATGTCTTCAGTTGTGACTTTAATGGTGTTTGCTTAAAGAGCTTTCTTTTATCTCTGCAGACATACTTCAATGACAATATCCTCACACTGATACGGACATTGGTAACAGGAGGAGCCACACCAGAGCTGGAAGCGCTGATTGCCGAGGAAAATGCATTGAGAGGAGGTTACAGCACGCCCCAGACACTTGCAAACAGGGACAGGTGTCGAGTTGCTCAGCTGGCTTTGTATGATGGGCCATTTGCAGACCTAGGGGTAAGATCATGAGGGAAATGCAGGACCAAGGCTGGTCTGTGCTCTATTAGCTTTCTCTCAGACTGAGTGAAAAATCTATCTCAATAAGCATATAATTTCTATTATTGAATTTAATAGAGTTTGTGGATTGTTTAAAAATTCATATCACAGAGTGCCAGGTTTGCTTTTTACCTTTTTAAGAAGCTGTATGACTGCCCAGGATCCTTGCCTGCATATTTCATACAGAAAATCCTGTGTATCTTCTTCATAGTCAGCTAAAGAGATAGATGAGTTGATTCGGATGACGTAACAATTATAGCAATAATGAATTCTAAATACATTCAATATGTACAGATATACCTTTTTTGGGTTTTCATAAGCTTACTTAGTGTTTTCACAGAGCTTCCAGTTCTTAAAATCTGCTCATTAGCTCGAAAACAAAGTGGTAAGGTTTGCTTTCTGCCGGTTTTGGATGAACTAAAATTCTTATGCAATGCTAATTTTCTGATAATTTGACTGCATTGTTCTAAGGGTGAAGTCAAAAAACAAGCAAAAAAAAATTAAATTCCCAAACCAAATAAATAAATAAATAAATAATCTTCTAAAAAGAGTGTATTATATAAAAACGAAGTATCTAGAAATGTTTTCTGGACGATATTTTGAAATCTTGAGGTCCCAAAGCACCCAGTCTGCTTTGATGATGATGTAGGATTTGATGTTTCTAAAGTTAACCCTGTGTTCACCAGCCTTGTCCAAAAAGAATGGAATGACCTTTGTCACAGAAATTACAGAAAATCCCAGTGTAAGGATGCCCTTGCAAGAGTGCACAGATAGGAGCCTGCAGCCTTTTAGTTGATGCAGCAGTCCAGTTGTGGCTGAGACTAGCAGCTCATCAAAACACTGGCATGCAGCTTAACATTTCCACAAATAAAGTAAGCAACACCAATCTTTTGAATGCTGTTTCACCAGAGCCTCAAGTGCACTAGGTCTGTGAAGGCAGAATGCATTAACTCTCATGATTACTTGAAAATCACTATTTTGGATATACAAATAAGCAAATTCAAACTTATTTTTTGCTAATCATACACTTAGTCATTATTTGACAGCAGCAGATATTTTATTATCCTTTTAAGCCCATTGAACTCTAATTTCTGTTGTGCTCCTCGTGATTTTTTTTTTTTGTCTGGATGACAGTATGACTGCTGCCAAGAAAGGGTCAAAGATATGAACAATTTTAATACCATAGTTAATGTAATTTGTAGAATATGCATTGTCTGGTACCAAAATTTAGATTTCCAGCTTAAAGCAAATCACTCACTCTTTCCAATTTGCCATTATTTCATGGACCAAGGCTCTCCAAAATAGCAATCATCACTTTACATAGTTACTTATTTGAAATAAAACATTTAGATTATTCATTTCCTTGGGTAAAAGGCTCTCATTTGAGACAAACAACAGACTGTCTATACATTGTCCCCTTTTTTATAAGTTCATACTGAATGACCTGTTCCCTGACATTGTGTTTACACAGCAAAGAAAGGAAAAAAAAATGCACTGTTCTCTTTTTTAAATTTTAATCTCCTCTCTTTCCTCTAGGATGGAGGTTGTTATGGAGATCTGTTTTGTAAAGCACTGAAAACATACAATATGCTTTGCTTTGGAATTTATCGATTAAGGGATGCACATCTAAGTACTCCCAGCCAATGCACTAAACGGTGAGTCTGGTCTTTTAGAACATCTCTGCTTCCCTGCTCTTCAGTCTTCTCAGCGAGGAAATGCCCAGTGCCTGTTATAAATATAAAAAAGAGCTTGTTCATTTTTGCATAACTTTTCCCCAGTCCTCTTTGAGGATTTCACCATGATTCTATCTGACTTTAAATCATAAACTGGATATCACAGCGTAAGTTGTCAGCTAATTTTATTCAGAATTTTTAAATTAAATTTTCAGAGTGTATCTTTATCTTGTTTGCTCCATGATGATCCACTGTTTGCCTGCAAGGGAAGGACTTCAGTTCCCTTATATCAAACAACTCTAAGTTGTGGGATAATAATTTAAATTACAGTAGCTAGTCTTTTTTCTGAATGCTCAAAAAATACTCCTGTGGGCTTCCCATCAGTACCATCTGTGTTTAAGCATAATTTCTTCCAGTAAATGGAAAACCTTCTCTTGGTAGACTACATTTTTACTTCAGTAGCACCAAGCCTGACCTTAGTGCTTTAAATAGAGCAGACACATTTCCATCTTTGCAAACTGAAGGCCATTTAGCAGCTTGCTTGAAATGTGTCTTAATTAACTGCTTCCTAGAAATACACACACAGACCCATACCAGAAGTACCACAAATCTACCATCTGTTACTGTTTCATGCTCTACAGAAAGCATCATTATTGGGTGAACATGGCAATAAACAGCACTGCAGCCCACCAAAGCGGCTTCTTCTGTAAGAATTTAAACAAATTGGGTTGAAAAATTGAGTTGCAGTTTAGATTTACAGTGTAGTTGCTAGACTTGGAATTATTTGTTGAATTAATAAGGGACGTCTGTCCCTGAAGGAGCTAAGCAGATTTCTTGTGAGCATTGAATTAATTTGAAAAGAAGTCACGAGCTTCATGTTCAATTTTTACTAATTTCTTGCTTGGAAAGAAAATGCCGATTGCCTCGCTCAAGTCTGTTTTTCACATGCATGGAAAAATTTAGCAGCTGCTCTATAAGTCTTTCATACCCTGAAAGGCCATTAGGTGAAGGTGAGGATTCTTGAAATTGAGCAAGTTTTTATCTCAGGCCTGGGATTTATACTGAGCAATGTTGGATTCTCAGATGTGCAGATTTCTCTTTATAAATGCTCTTTGAGGCCATGAATGTACATGTGGAGTGAATGAACAAAATTAACCTCGCTTAAGAGTTATTGATGTATTTTCCTTAACTTGTTTTAACTACAGTCACAATCCAAACCAATAATTATATCCCTTGTTCTATTGACTTCATCTAAATATTTAATGACTATGTAAATATGTATTTAAATATACATTTAAATAAGCTGCATGTAAAATCCTCCTCTCTCTGCTTTTCTGCCATTCTTTAAATACCATTTGTGGTGGGTATGTTACTGGGTTTTGTCAATATTTAACTATATTTGGTAGAGTCATTGCATTATGGTGCAGCCAGAGAAAGGAGCATGATTTGTATGGTGGTTTCTCTGAAAAATCATTATGTGATTCACTTGAAGAACATCATTCTCAGGCATTATGTTTTTTTGAAAGAAAACATAAAAAAAGTGACAGCTGACCTTAAAAGGTCCAAAAATTACAGTGAGAATTTTGTGAGCTAAAATTAGTTACAAACAGAAATGCAAAAATTGGGTTAAGCTCAAAAAAATCTAGAAGAAATTTTTTAGTAGAAATCTAAAACTATTTTCTTTTTCTTTCTTTTTTTCTGTCTTCCTTCCTTTCCAGTTATGTTATCACAAACCCACCATATGAATTTGAGCTTGTGCCGACGGACTTGATCTTCTGTCTGATGCAATTTGACCACAACGCTGGCCAGTCCCGAGCCAGCCTCTCTCATTCCTCCCATTCCTCCTACTCTTCCAGCAAGAAGAGCTCATCAGTTCACTCCATCCCGTCAACAGCAAACCGACCGAACCGCACCAAGAGCAGGGATTCCCGGGACAAACAGAAGTATGTGCAGGAAGACAGACTTTGATATGTGTATCTACTCCCACTGTGTGTGAAACTTGCATTCACCACCCATTCTCCCCGGTTAATGTTTCCAGCAGTAATGTTCCCTGTTTTCCCATGGAGTTCTCCCTTTTTGTACACATATTTTGCATATGTATGACAGTGTGCATGTGATTGTCATTTTTATTTCACCACCATAAAACCCTTAAGCACAACAGCAACAAAGCAGACGGACCAAAAGTTATTTATGATGCTAGGGGAGAATAAAAAAAGAATTCCAAACCCATAGGCACACTCGAAACATAAATAACTCACTGCAGTTACTCTACATATCTGAAAATAGAGTATATTTAACATGAACACTTGCTCTTGATGTCAGAGTTACACAAAGAAAGTCATTTAGTGCAGAAGTGTTGGTGTATGTTGCAGTAGCTTTTTTTTAATACTCATATGTACAGGAGCTCATACATTTATTTGAAGCTTATAAAATTACCCTATTGAAAAAAAAAGCCAAAACCAAATAACAAAAACCATGCAAAAAAAAAAAAAAAAATCCCTGCTGATTTTTCACTCTAAAATCTTATATTACATAGGGCTTACACTCCTTGTATAGATTATTGCTAGACATCTGCTTTATACCAAAGCAATATCAGGGACTTTTCTGCTTGTTTAAGAACTTTCTCTAAAATACTAGTCTTTTGGAGATGGTATATTTTCCCTTTAACACTGAAATTGTTGGGGCATAAAGCTTTACAACTCCAATGGTTTAATTTAAGTTTAGAAAGAGTCTAATTGCATATTAAATTATTATTCTGTCTATTTATATTGCCACATGAATAGCTGTATTTTCTTTCACTTTTGACATTTGGGATAAAAAGCCATATGTATCATAAATATTGGATGTAAGTCATTAAAAACCGCCTTCTTGGGACTTTTACATCTTTAAAAGGTGAATTAGTCACCTTATGTACAGAATAAATAATGCTCAGAAAAGAGCAAGCGTTTTTCTATGCTTACATATCAGATCTCAAGGGACTTTGTTCCTTTCCCCAGATGCTAGTTTAACTTTTCCAAGTTGGTGTTGGTATAAATCTTCCAACAGGAGTCCTAATATGTGACGAAGCTCCAGAAATCTTGCCGCATGTTCTACCTGTTTTTTTTCAACAGGTGCATGCCAGTAGGCAGGAATACAGTGAAGACAACTGAGTGCCTTTAAATCTCTGCTATTTGGGGAGAAAAGGTGCTGTGCCCAACTTGAGGAGAACAAGAGGGCTGGGTTGGAAATATTCACAGTGCTGAGGCGTCGTGTTCCATGCACTTGTCAGAATTTAGTTCTTGCAAATTGTCACCAATGACACATGTAGCCAAAAAAAAGTTGTGACAGGGAACTAAATAACATAGTGGAAAGGAACCTGCCCTAGACAGCCATAGGAATTATACTTCAGGCTTGCTTTTACTTTTTCTTTTTCTTGTTTTAAACTTCAGAAGCCAATATATATTTTGAAATATAGAGCTAGCTCTAGGTTTATGGAGGGTTTCCTAGGGTAGGAAGGGCAGAAACACATAACCTCTTCCCTGGCTATCCAGCAAGAAAGCATGCAGACAGAAAAAAATATTTAGATTTGGAATGATTAGCATTGTAACTGCCAACCCAATCAAGGTGCTTTTATGGTTAGTTTTGTCTTCTACCTTCCCCTTCCCCAAGCATGATAATTTTGAAGATTTGCTTGCTGTGTGAATTGACAATAAAGCCAAGCACTTTTACTGACAAAACCTGGAACCATGTAAATGGGCTACAGAGAAGTGGGCCACTGTGCAGTGCTAAGCATAATGATTGGAATGCAGTCTATATGTTTGAGTGTGCATTCAAACGCAGCTGTAAGTCCAATCAGTGAAAGACATTGCAAATTATGGCTGCACCCCTGCAAATGAGACTATTACAGTTGCTCTTCATCATAAAGAAAATTCACGTGTTCCTTTTTGCAAAGAAAGTTACCATGTTTTGCCCTCAGAATATTTATTGCTACAAGGATGTGCCAGTTAAAGTGCTCAACCAGAAATATGACAGTTTAAAAGCATTGTAAAACTTACATAGCTTACTTCTTTTTCTAAAGTGCAACAAGGATGAATAGAATGGGCCAAGGTATGAAAATTAATGGTTCTGCATGACCTAGCAACTGCTGTGGGTTTCCCTCTATAACTTTGTCCTTGTGAAAACTTGTGAAATTAAAAAAAAAATAGTTACAAACTTTATTCAGTTATTGGTTTGTTTGTTTGGTTGATTGTTTTGTTGGTTTTCTTTTGCCTTTTTTTTCCCCACCAAACCAGAGGTAAAACTGGCTGCTGCTGCTGCTGCTGCTGCTGCTGTTTCTCAGCCCTGTTTTGGTTTTTTATCCTCTCATCTGCTTGCCTTTCTAATTGCACGTGTCCTTTTGTAAACACCCAGGTTCCTGCTCAATGAAGATGCCTATCGTGGTGCAGACATTACTTTAATTTCCCATTCCTCATTCCAGTTTCTTTCCTACCTTCCCCTCCCTACTCTCTTATTCCCCGTGTATGTACATGAGCATCTTTTTATGTCAGCAGAATTGATTGAAGATAGTTGAGAGCAGTTACACATTTTGGAAGAATGTTAATGGCTTTGACACCAAAATGCTTTTCCATTAATGTTTTATCTGTTTTCCATTTAGCAGAGAAAGGAAGGGTGTTAATATGAAGCCACTTGTCACATGCAACATAATGATTTTTATCCAAAAAAAAAATAGTATTTGTATTAACAGTGCAGCTCAAATAGAAAAAATATAAACAGCATACATTATAGAAGTAACTTGCTTACTTTGTGAACAGCAGAAGAGGAATATCTAATATGGGCGCAAATCTGAATTTTTCAAATTAAATTGAAGTCTACTCCACCTCTGTCCTCTATCCTGAAGTCAGAATTCTAAAACTTTTGACTTTTAGTAGTATTGTGTATAATTACCACTGCTGACTATAGTTAGATTGATCAAATAGTTTATTATAATGATGAAGGTTTTCTGTTATGGATATACTAATGGGGGTAGGTCATTATAAGCAGAGAAATACTTAAATCAACATTATGTTGGTGTTTCTATTGAAAAGTAAGAGCAAATCTCCTGTTCTATCCCAGGTCAGACAGCCATAGTAGAATGGTTAGTTCTTTAAAGTGAAGAAGTATCACCAATGTCAGGAGGTCATGTTTTAGGTTTTTAAATTAAGGTCCTGCCATTTATATCAGTCCCAGCATGGTTTCAGCTTAGTGTTTCAGTCCTTAGTGAGCTTAAGTGTTGGCACAAAACCATGTCTAGCAAACCTGCAGGTTCTTGGTGAGGGTTCCTATTGACCCAAACAGAGAGAGTCAGGCATTTTCCAGTGGAACTCCCATTATCAAAACTAAGAATTTTGGTAGTTTAAAAAATAAAAAATCAAGAACAAGTCCAGAACATTGTCACAAAACTTTAATTGCCCTGGAGCAAAGTAAAGTTCTTCATAGAAAAAATAGTTTATTCTTTCTTTCCCTGTAAATTTCTTACTGCCTGCTACATGTAAAATATTCACCTGCCAAACAAAGAATTGCTGAGCACGTGGGTGGAGAAACTTTGATTCTTTTCTTTCGCATGCAGGAACAAATTACATGGAAGAATTTACAGCTTAGTTATAAACAAGATGGTTACATGCAGGGAGGAGACACGCAAACACATACATGCAAACAAATTTGAAACTGCTAGTGTTTCAGAAGACAAAAAAAATATATTTTAAACAGTTGAAAGGTAACCTTGGATCATGGTGAGAATACAAATGTAGTAAAACCTTTCTCTTCTGTTTTGGTAGTATTTTCTTTGCCTCTGCTTAGAACAGAGGGTGTTTCACAGTGGCATTTGCTCTAAGTTGCTACTCAGTCCAAAATTAATGATAGAAATTTTAAAGCACCAATACAATAAATATGTTGGAGAGAGTTGCTGCAATCTTATACAAGTTGAAGAAAACTGTATCTTGGTCCTTTTAATTTGATTATTTATATCTTTTTTTTTATGCTATGGGGAAGAGTGTTACACAAAACCATGAATTTTTATTTATTTGTAATATGAGCATTAGGCTTTTTAAACCTTCATGGATGCTGATAGCACATTACAAACATAGATGTTTGAGAGGAAAGTAAGTGTTTTCTGCTTTCTGATACATTCAGTTACTTAGCTGTTCCAACATCTCTCAGGTGATGCTGTCAAAAAGAAGCCTGTCAAATAGCGTAGGAAGATCAGGGACTTTTTTAGCAGCTCCTAAAAAATAAAATAAAAAAACATGCCTCTTGTCACTATAATGTAGAAACACTTCTGGTAAGGATCAATATGCATATTCCAAAAGGGAGAGAAACAGACTCAATGTGACAGAGAACTTAAAAATGCTTGGTGACTATAGCAATATATAGACTTTGAAAAGGGGGTTTCTGAACAGATCTAAAGGAAAGAGTAAATATTAAAGATAAAAATCTGTACTAAGACTCTGGAAGATATACCAAAATCAGGCTGTAAGCATAGGATAAAATACTGAAAAGTGTGTAGGGGCTTCAAGAAGGACATTTAGTGACTGGAGCAGAATATCATAGTGGCCAGAGTAAAGATCAGGAGTGTTAAGCTCACATTTCAAAGGTAAGTAAAGAGGTCAATGAATTTGCACAGGAGATTCATTGTTATGTGACCAAAGACAATTTTAACAGAGGAGAGGAACAGGAAAGGTATAAAGCTGTATCTAAGCATTGCATGCTGGAGAATGATAATGCTTGGGTCAAGGTTTCAGCACTGGCAAAAAGAAATCTGAACAGCAAAAGACATTAGAATCTACCAGCTTCTACATTTATTATTAATGTTCTGTATGTATTACTTGCCATGTAAAGGCAAAAAGTGAGTGGGTGGTTTCTTTTTAAAGAACAGCTCCCTATATAGGAGTTCTACTGTAAATTTAGCACATAAATAAATAGCTTATTTTGAAAATTTTGGGGAAAGCAGAGTATTTTGAAGTGCTTTACACTGGCTGCTGAGAAACACAGCACAGTTCTGATTCTTAGCACTCAGACAAGTCTCCCCATACTTGCTACAACATTGAATTAACTTGCACCAAGTTCTGTTTGTAAGGAAAGTTTTTGCACCATGTGTTAAAAAAAAGAAGGTAGCAATGAAAGTTCACGGTGCTTAACTTGCCTCAAAATCATTTTAAACACAAACCATTAGAAAACTGTTAGTTTGAAATTGTTTATGTGATCTCACAAGGCTTTTAAAACATGATAACCATCACACTTTACACCTCTCTGAAAGGTTAGTTTAATCGTAGATCACATAAAATTGTTTTCCACAAATGCATAATGGTTCATGTGTCACACTTGAACTAAATGGTTTTTTAAATGGAGCTGAAATTATTTTGATGTGTACACATTCCCAGACTTCTTTTTCCTACAACCTTTCTTAAACCGGCCCCCATCAGGAATCATTCCCTTAAAGTCTCATTAATAATTCAGATGTTCTGATTACTTTAAAAGATCTATGGAATTGAGGCTTTTTTTTTTTTTTTTTTTTTTAACTGCTTGACAAAAAGATAAATGAATGTAGAAAGAAACGGTAGGAGTCTGGCAAGCTGTAGATCATCTCTGAACAGATTGTAACTTTATCATTCTGTCAGGAAGAATAATTTAAAGCACTTAATCAGTTAGCTTCAGTGTGCAGGATGTAACATTATGAATTCCTATCATCCAATCTGTTCAAATCAAAGGGAACTTAATTATAATAGGTGAGAGAGAGGGAGATGGGAGATTGAACATCGTTCAGACTCAGGCACCTTTAAGGGGGCAGGGAATTATTTAGTCTGGACAAAAATGATATTTTTAAACACAAGTGAAAAGCATTTTAGAAAATTACAAGAAAAACAATACAGTAGTTTAGTTTTCCTTCAGTAATAAGCCACTAATAAGTAATACAATTTCTGGGTTTGATTTAATTTTTGAAATTGTGTAAGAACACATAGAAAAGGTTTTAATGGGGAGTGGGGGTTTGCCTTGTAAATTCTAAAAATCCATATAAAGTGTAAGTGGTTTAATTTGTTATTCATGAAAGTGACTGAAAAGTCTAGTAATTCTGGAGATTAAGCTACTTCTTGAGACTCCAAAGGTCTTTGTTTATTTTTGTGCACTTATGTCCAGGTGTTTGTTCTCTATTATTCTCAGTCTTTCAATTTCTTTTCTCTCCTTTACCTCCTGAGCTTTTTGCTCAATCCTTGGGTTTCTAAGGTGAATTTTTTTTTCTTTTTTGCTAATTTTAAATAATTTCTTTATTAAAAAATGAGCATTCCTTTCACTTCTGTCCTGATTCAAGACAGTGCAGCATTTCAGGGATTAGAAAAGTAGCAGTTTATATTATGTGAGGCATTAAAGCTTCTGCAGCATTTTGGGTTTCGCATTGGAATGAGAAGTAGTGCATACATGTTAGAGTAGCAGGTCTGGTGCGACAAACTTTGAAGCTTTCATGTAATACAAAAATGCCCAGAACCATAAGTGTCCACTGCTCTGCCCACCCACCTCTGGAATCTGGGGAAGGAAGACAAGAATGGAGTCAGTTCAGAAATGCTTGTCAAGGCACAAGTGCACATAATGGCCATTGGCCACTCTCTAGATCAGGAGTTCCCAAGTCTTGGAATAAAGTTATCTTGTAAGATTGCATACCTGTCATTGAGAAATTACAGCAGAAATTGCTTTCTAAAGGGTTTAAAATTTTTTTTTTTCATTTTGTGAATTTTGGAAGCTTTTGTCCATACCTGCAATGGAGCAGTACAACACAGTGGTTACAATGATGAACAGCTGGGAAAGGGCTGCAATGCTGCAGCCTCTCAGCATCCTCCCACATTGCTCCCAGCCCACCTTAAAGCCACGTCATAAAATTCCTTCTGTGTTAATGGAAGCAGGCATTGCTCAAGGACAGAAAAGAAAGAACTCCCTCTCTAAATTTTTAGTCCTTACTTCCTTTGCCTTGCTGTCACCTGTCACAACTGATCCATTCAGGGTTAGCTGGAGCCCCTACCACAGTCACCTGCAGTGTCTGCTGTGTTCCCTACCCCATTTGAAACCCTAGAGTTCAGTAGTGCTCCAGAACCTGTGTTTCAGAGTAGGGATATAATGCCACCTCATGCAAAAGGCTGCTGTCCAACAGCAGGAATACAAGTCCTGTTTATTCTAACACGGACTGCAGAAAGTTCTTTATGTTCTCCTGCATGATTTCTGGGCCAGCAGTAGCCACCACCCCAGGCTGAAATGGTTCAGAGAAGTCTGACTCTTTAGGTGCTCCTTGTGTGTAGTCTCACATGCTCTTTTCTGTATTACCTTTATCCCAGCTGCTCTCCTTGGCTTCTTAGTTTAGACTTTGATTTGTATCATATTTTTTTTTCAATAAATGAATCACCTGAGCATGGGCACAAGAAAAGAGCTCTCTTACATCCAAAAAGCAAACTAGCATATTGGCAGTTTTCTTTAGCTTCTATTAGCAAATCTGCAAGCGTCATCCTCCTTTCATAACCGTATTTTCAGATGTATTAATCTAATGCACTGTACTGCTAGTAATTAGTCAAAGTCACCTTCTATTGATCTCTTTTTTCTATAAACTTTACTGACTGCTCCCTTTTTCTTTTTTAAATGTTTCTGTGTATGTGTGCTTCACTAATTAACGCTTTCATTTTTCCCTCCTTATTCTGTCTCTGCCTATTTTGCTCCTTAGCAGAAAAGAAATGGTTTACAGATGAGCCGGATAATGCCTACCCCAGAAACATTCAAATCAAGCCCATGAGCACTCACATGGCCAATCAGATCAATCAATATAAATCGACAAGCAGCTTGATACCACCAATACGAGAAGTTGAAGATGAATGTTGACTCCTTCGAAGCCAGAACTATTTTTATAAAGCCTGACAAACTTCATGAATGGTGATGTTACATTTATTCCTCTTACTTGCTGAACCACTGATGGAGAAGTTAAGAAGGGCACGCTTAATGGGAAAATAAAGTAGACAGATCTTTGTTTGTCTGCCTTTAATATTGCTTCCACGTATTTTGGAAACTATTTCATTTATAAATGAACATAATCAAAATTAGTCATGTATAGCCTCTAGCATTTTAAATTATTTTTATTTATTAGAAAAAATATATTTTTCTTTTTTTTTTTCATTGTTAAGTATTTTCCCTTACAAAATGGCATATGTGGCCAGACTCCTAAGAATTAAAAAAAAAAATTCAACAAACCCTCAGTCTTTGGCTTAAAGGAGAATGATGGTCACTGTTATAAGGATATGTAATTAAGGGAGACAAATGATATATTTGCAAAAAGGAAAAAAAAGGTCCAACTTGTATTTTAGTAAATCAAAAAAAAAAAAAAAAAAAAAAAAGAAAAAACCTACACTTCACCAAAATGTTTCTTTATTGGAAGGTGTGTATTTTGTTCAGCATTGACACCAGCTCTTAATAAATCAAACTTATTTATTTTCACAGTTTGAAAGTCATATTTTTGTACATGTAACATTCTTCTGAAATATTCTTTGTTTTATTAAGATATGTAGATCACGCTGACTGCCAGTTGTGTGCAGGTGCAGTAACCCCCCCACTGTGCCCTGCCCCTCCTCGCGGTGGCACACGGGGACACCCAGTGCCCTCGGGAGCACGCTGTGACACGGGCACAGGGAATGGCACCACCCCAGCCAAGGGCCATGGGCTCAAGGGGCACTTGCTGGAAATGGCAAATCTGGCAATCGCACTTCACTTCCCATTAGCCATCCGCAGTTGCTAATTTCAGGAAGGCAAGCTTGGCAATTCTTCTTCTTTTGCCATTATTACAGTGATTTTATCCAGAGTGCAGAAAATAGTGCATGGAAGCATCAGTTAAAAACCATCTCATCCACCACATTTTGTTACTTCCTTACTTCACAAGTGCTGATGGCCTTTCATTGGCCTGAGGTGGTACAAATTCTTCCTGATATGTATAGAGATTTAGCTCCACATCCTTGCACTTTGGTGAAAGCTCATAACCTGGTAAAGGGCACCCTGAATCTCCTTTTTATTAATTTAGATAAAGATAAAAACTGGTTTAGCTTCAGCTCTACAAACTCATAATGTGCTGTCCTCAGTTAATTCCTACAATAAGCAAAATCTTATTTTAGCAGTTGTTCTTCTGGTTGGGTTTTTTTTTTTTTTTTTTTTTTTTATTTAACTTTACTTTCCTGGGATACCACACACAAAAGTACAGTAATAACCAAATAAAAATAATAAAAGTGATGAATGTATTTATTATGCTAACATGCAAAAGGCCTTTGATGGGTGCCTTTTGTGTCAGCAGTTTCACGAAGTTGCCAACAAGCTTTATAGCCATCAGACAAAAATGTGATGTTTCATATCTGTGCTGCAGTATCTACCCACCCAAGCATTTATGTTCTAAATTATTTAGTTACTCTCTCTATCTCAAATAAGCGACATCTGACACAATTGTGTGGAAACAAAAAAAAAAAAAAAAGAAAAAGAAAAAAAAGGGAAAGGCTGTGATAGTAGGGAAACAAAAAACCAAAACCACAAAATCAGAGTCATCAGGAAAAGCAGATTTTCATTGTGCAAGTTAACTTTAGGCTTTGTAATTTTGCAGAATTGTTAAACACCACAATTAAACATATGTGGTATTTTTATCATTAGAGAAATATCAGTGAATCAAACAAATACAAAGCAGATGATGAATTTATTGTGAAAACAACGATGTCCACTATGTAATCCAACATTTAAGCCAAACTATCTCAGCTTTAATGTTTGTCCACTGGCTGCAGTACAAGTATAACCATACTAACACCTAATATGCTTTATTCTGGAGTGACTTCTTGGACTGTGACTATTTTGTTGTTACATTTTGTAGAATAGCTATTTAAAGACAATAATGAGAATTGTTAATACGATATTTGTAAAATTGGATTGTTTAAAATATTTCACTCTTCTACAGAGTAACAAAATGATACAAGCAGTTTTTCATTATTATTAGATGCATGTTTAATGCATTTCACAGTCCCCAAAAGAGAAGAGAATTCCAGTGAGTTCTTCCAACATATGCTGCTTCAGCTAGTGACACGTTATAATTTACATCCAGTTTCTGCATTGGGTCATGTTAAGCCTTTTCTTTGAAGTCAGTGCTCCTTTTTCATTTATGAACTGCATTCACATTAAACCAGAATGAAAAAAAGCTGGTTCTGAGTACAGGAGAATTGTAGAAACTTGTGTTCAACCTCATCAAATACATATGAATTTTAATTTATTTTTCCTTAGAAGACTGGTGTTTAATATAGGGGAATAGAACATTATATCTTATAATATACAGTGCCACTTCTGAGTGTCCTTCCTTTAGAAGTGAACATTCACTGGATAAAACATAATAATAAATCAAATACAGCACCCCTACATTGCTTAGGTCTGTGTGTGTCTCTTTCCAGTTTAACTGTCACACCCCAAAATCCCATGCTACTGTTTATAAATGAAGGACAAGACCTGAACACACTCACAAGCTCTTCTGGCACAGAGAGCTCCATATGCAATGGTTGGATAAAACAACACCCATAGAGAGCAAACAACACAGAGAGAAACAGGTGGAGTTATGGATATACATTTCCTATTTACAGAAAAGCTAAAATCAGTGATATTTTCTTACTCCCTTTTGATAATTTTGATAATCATAGATGCAGGACTGATGTCTGGAAATTAGATAGAGCAACAGATAGAAAACTTGTTTCAATCTTTGATATTCGGCGATTAAAAATTACAATAAGTCCAGCACCAATAAATGGATATATGAAGTTACATCAAAGCTGGGAAAAGGCTGTGAAAGGGACCTAAGTGACAGCTGACAGACCACATGATGACTGGTTGACTGGTACAGAAATCAATTCTTGGTCTTTATAAATATCTTTTACCCCTGTCTTAGAAGGCAAAGATTAAAAAAAAAAACAAGTGGGGTAGGGAGGATTTCCGGTTTTTTGTTTGGGGTTTTTTGTTTGTTTTTGGTTTTTTGCGGGGGGATTTTTTGGCATTAATTGCATGCACTACTGATACAGGCTATAGAATGTTTTTTTGTAACTCATGTGTTGGATAAATAGAGTGTCTGTGTGTGTGTGTGTTTGCATACATGCATGGCCACACATGCACACACACATATATATATATGTGGTTACACATGTACACACATATGTATATGTGGGTACAGACACACACATATGTACAGGGGTGTGCATGTGTTTGATAGAGTCTTCACAAGAAGATGTCATCATTTTTACTTTCTGTGAGATGGGGTGAAGAAAGGCACAAAAAAGGAGAAAATAATGACTTGCAGGGTAGCACATGTAAGAATTTTTTTCTGCTATTTCCACCTGGTTTGACCAAAACCCAGCCATCCTGGTGAGTTTTATGAGAGATGCACTGGGATTATGCTGCAGATTATCACTGCTGCAGCTGGGTTGTGCTCCTGGCCCTCCTCACACCCCTGCACTTTTCTGCTCCCACACTGCCAGGAAGTCTGCTGGCTTCATTTTAATTTGTCCCCTGAAGCCCATGAGCTTCAAGATTAAAGGCTGAAACTGTCCTCTGATAGATTTGGTGGCAAGTGCCAAGCACAGCAAAAGTTAAGGTATAAAGAAAAGAAGATACCCATAGTCTAAATGCAAATTTTAACACCTCAATGTGATTGTGTGGTTCCTTTTAAAATAATAAGTATATGATGCATTTGTTAATAGGGAAAAATAAGATGCAAACATTTTTCTTGTACTTTTTAAAAGCATTCTAAAACTGTCACTGATATTTTAACTCCTTGTCTTTCAAATCAGCATCAGTAGGCCCAACAGTATGGAATACATGGGACAGAAAATACAAACCCCTTGAACTGGGCCAGGCATGGTCAACTGGATATGAAAAGACCTAAGTGGCCTCAGCCAAAGGTAGGAAAGGGCAAATATAGTTTGCAAGCCAGGTATAGGAGACACTGAAAAAGCATTTAGCCTTTTATTATGCATTGTTGGGTGGTGGTGGATGAAGTTGGTTATTTTTGACCTGCGAAGGAAGACTTTGTATTTCTTGAACTCTTCATGTAGTAGAAAGAGAAGGAGAAAGTAAAATAATGTGTTCTCATTCAGGTTTTGCTGGGGGCTTGTGTGTCTAAACTACAGCTAACAACTACTGCAATAATTGGTTGCATAAACTGATGAATAAACATACATGACAAAAAAAAAAAAAAGCAATAATTTAGAAATGGCTAATAATTTGTGTTTTCACTGCTTGGCCACTCACTGGCCAATCTATAAAAATGTTAACAACTGCCCTGGACTAGCTGATTCACATGGGCACAAACTGGGACACAGGGCAGGTGCTTAAATGGCTTCAAGAAGTAAGGGCTATGTAAGGATCCTAAGGGTTCCTGGATCCCAAAGTATTTGAAATGAACACATATTGAGGTCAATGTGTGTGTGTGTGTTTGTATGTTTTGTTTTTACAGCTGTTATCATTGTGAATTTCTTCATCACCAAAAGAAGTGTGTGCCTCGCCTTTCATTTCCAGTTTTGAATGTGATTAAATAAAATAACCAAGTGTGTGAAAGGTGGTAACAGGAAAAAGTGAAAACAGAAATCTGTTCCAGTGTTACAGTGGATTAGCCTAGGAATATCTATCAAAGTCAATGGCAAATGCACAAAAAAAATCAGAGGAAAGGAGAACTCTTTATAATCCTGATTTTTTTATTTTCTGTGCCATGTGAACCACTGAAATCACCAACATACAAACAAGCACCTTTTTAATTTTAATTAATTTTTTTTCTTGATTCTAAAGGTTCTTGAATAATCACAGGCTTAAGAGAATTTTTTTTTTTTTTAAAGTCATTATATATGCACGCCAGGTCTCCTAATATTGAATTTATAGTATTTTCATGCTGAGCAATAGTAGTGGGTGTGGGCTATAGCCCCATCTGAAATAGTGAAAGGAATGTAGTAGCTCTTCTGCTGTAGTCACTGCCCAGGATGGTATGTGGGCCTATAGCATGGATAAGTCTGTGCCAGGATTTGTCAGAGCTATATTTCTGTCAGTAATGGATCTATTCTGCACAGGTTCTCTCTGCTCCAGAGCATGCAGCCCCATTGAGGCTGTGCAGCCTCTGAGCAGCAGTCTGTGCGAGCAGGTAAGTTCCACTGGAACCAGTAGTGAGGACTGCTGCTCTATCTGCTCTGCACAGGGCTGTGTTACTGGTAACTGCCAAAAGGAGAAGGGGTAGGGAAAATGAAGAAAATATTAAATATAATGTATTTCTTTTGTTACTTTGGGTCTAATTTAGAGCAATATCTAACTTAAGAAGCTAAACAGTAAAGCTGCATCTAATTAGAACCTTTATGATGTTGAGACAAGGTTTCTTACTGCTTTAGTCAATGCATTTTAGAGGAGATTTCTATAAAGTAAAAAAGCTAAACAACCCAGAACACAGTATATAGGCAGTTGAATACATGTAATAAAATCCATACATTTTTAGGAACAAAAAATGTGGCATATGAGCATTTTGTTGACTGGACAATAACTAGTAGGAACCAAATAAGGATGTCAGCAGAAGCTATCTCAAGCAGTTAAAAAAAATTCTGCTTCTGCCATGGTCCCATAGTTGGGACACACATGCTTAGCCAATGCAAATACTCTAATCTCTGGCAAGAAAAAAAGAAAAAAAAAAAAAAAGAAAAAAAATTACTTTAATTTTCACATTTCTGTATAATTCAAAACTGATGAAACCATTTTCTTCCTTCAGAAAAAACACACATGCAAATATATATATACAATATATTTTGATTGTTTCATATGTCTACATTAGTTATAATTTGGAAGTGGAGATGGCTGAGAACCAGCTAGCATCTTAACTCAAAAGTTCATCAAGAAAAAGGAGTACGACTTCATCACTTTACTTTTAACATCATGGGTTGGTGAGAGAGAACAAATGCTGGTGCTCAGAAATGATCTACCTGACTTTGTCATATGTAATATCCAGTGAAAAATATATCGTCCTGTAAAAAGGGTTTGTACATAACTTGTACATGGTTTCATTTTGTATTTTTCTCAGATTAAAATTTATGTATTTGTGTTCTAAAAGAAGGAGATATTGCTGTGTTTTCTTTCTTCTCTTCTAAAAAAGTTTGTAACTTGTATCACCAAGTCATAAATATTACTGCATTCATGAAACCAATACTATTAATACTTTGACCGAAGACTAACCCAACAGCCTTTCTCTCTTGCTTACACTCCAGAATCAGCTCCTTGCTAATAATCATTAATATCAGCTGCAATGGAGGATGCTTTGGTACTATAAATGAGTCATGCTGCACCATTCTGCAACAAATGGCACCCTAACACCAACTGTGTAGTTAAACACAGATAAAGTCTGGTTTAATTTAGCTACTTCACATGGTTGAACAGACCATTTCATATCACCTTTAGGTCTGATAGATCAGGTTAAGATGGATTGATAATTTTGCTAAACAGCCCAAGATTTTCTACTTTCTCATGATGAGTACATTCAAAATTTATCTAAAAGTTTTGGACTATGTTTCCATTGCATGGAATTAGGTATCACCCTACGTGCAACTGTATAGTTTTAGGCTTAAGAATAAACAGTCCTTGGAATCTGTGCATGTGGCTGGCATTCTGCTATAAAATAACCTTGTCATTAAGGTTGACATCATTAATCTTCTGCGCAGCAGTATCAGCACAGCGATTTGTAATCAATCACAGTTTGATAAACCTTGCTTGATTATGAATAATGGAGAGGAAAGAAGAGGAGCAGAACTCTGAAAAACACTCAGTTAAGCATCTGAGAAACCCCCAAAAGTACAAATAGTCAATTGGTTCTAACACAAAGAAGCTGATATAAAATGGCTACACAGATTGCTCTGTAAGCAAATAAGAATGGTTTTGGGGGAGGAGGAGAATCTATTCATGACAGTAACTGTGCAGGACTGTGGAGAACTACGTAAGAAACTGGATCTGCACCAGTGTCAGTAAAGCAAACTGCTCCAGCTCTCACTGAGTCCACTTGTCCAGACCATCCTTAACCTGTCTCACTGGGGAAGGGAGTTTATGTGCCATAAAAACTGTGATGCCTGTCTTCAAGAGTTCAATGAAAGGACTACTCTGTATCAGTATATCTATATGCAGATGTCTACTTCAGATCTAACTCCTTGACCTTATCCCTTCTTGGTGCAAGGCACTAATTAGTAAACTTGACTTTTAATTCCTGAGGGAGAATAAGAGGAAGTGATGGACAGTCATACAATGCACCATAAACAGGTACTCATTTTAAGATGGAATTGGTCATTCTTCATCACCAGTTAAATCACGTGTCTGCTTCCTGCACAAGGTTCCATGTCACAAAAGAGGCATTTATCCATACATAGACATATATGGATATATATGTGTGCATTTGGACATGAATATTTATGTCTATACATATGTCACCACCTACTAATATTTTTAGGGTCTTGGCTCCTAGATGGCACCACTTGCTGTTAAAAACACTTAAATCAAACCTGGCCATAGAGTAACTAAGATATGAAGCTGTTTTCTTATGTACCTACAGCCCTGATACTCATCACCACAAAGACTAAATTGAGCAGAACGTTATGCAATTCCCCCCAAAATTATATAGTAATCTTAGTTAGCAAGTACCTGCAGTGAATGAACAGGCTGCTCACACCTTTTCTGGACCATGAGGCAGTCCTACTAGGCTTTCAAAATACTTCAATTGTATTATAGCAATTTTATGTTAATTTTTAAAAATTTATTTTGATTTCAAATATGTGGTCCAAGCTAGAGAAGTGATTTCACAAATGTAGCTTTGTGAATTGGAGGAGTGCCACAAGAGGGACAAGGGAGCTGTGTGACAAACTTTTGCCTCAGCTCAAAGGCAAGGTCAAGTCTTTGCCATAATCTTCAGTTCTGTAAAACCACCCCAAAATCAACCACAAAAAAAAAAAAAAAAAAAAAGCCCAAACAAAACAAACTGAAAAAAACCCCCAAAAACAAAACAAACCCAACCACACAACAAAAAACTTTCCTCTCAAAAAAACCCCAAAACTCCCCCTGCAAAAACCAGCAACCTCTCAAAAAAGCCCCCCCACCGAAAAATAGCCCAACCCAAAACAAAAGAAAAAACCACCCACAAAAAAAAATTAGTTTCTTTTCAGTCCTCCCTTACTTACCACAAGTCCACCCTTTGCCACCTGAAGTCTCTAGGGAAAAAAATCTATTTTGAAAAAGACTGTAAATTTTCTCTTACTTCAAAGACAGAAGACGTTCAGACCTATTTCTAAGTAAGGGCAATCAATGACCCTAAGCTTGATTCCTGGCTGTATGTACTTGAGTGACCTCTTCAAAAAGTACTCCCCCTCCCCCAGTCCCCAGGTCTTAAAACACAGATTTATTATTATACTTTTTTCAAAACATTCATTATGCTAAAATTTCCACCTACCTCTGGGTCTAGTTTGCCAGATTTTACTTTCCCATTTTTTTATCACCAATGAGACACAAGTGTCCAGTAACCAGACACTTTCTGTCAAAAAAAATCTTACAGTCAGTAGGAGAGTGAGTTCAAAGTATCCCAATGGAAATTATGGAGAGAGATGAACACCCCGGAGCACTTCTTATGTTCTTTACAACTTTATTCAGTTTCCACTTTCTTTTCCTGTTGGAAGAAGAAACTCCTCTTTCCAACATCCTTGTCTTCTTAGGTTCTCCGCACCGACTTGGAAATCAAACCACAGTAACAACTTGTAAAATATTTTACTGCATTTGAAACCACTGACTCTTGAGAAGCTTTAAACATATCTGTTCATTTTTCAGTTCATTCATTCAAGTGTTATCCAGTAAACTCTGTTTTTAAACATCAGACAAAATAAAATACAGATATCAAAAAGCATTCATTGTAAGATACAGTGCAAAACAGATCAACAAAAGTTGGTTTTATCATGGATCAAAGACTTTACAAGTAGGATGTATAATCCATGTGTGCAGGCTGAAATAGGTAGCCCTTCACTCCAGGTGAACAGCTTGACTGCAAAGCATTTTTGAAACTCAGTATAATAGTTGTTTAATATTTGGAATTAATGGAAGCAGGACTGTTCCTTTACTTCAAAGATAACTCTGATGACACCAGAAGCCAAGAAAACCCATGATTTTCACATACATATTACTTTCCCACTGAGGAAAAGAAAGTTTCAGAGATACCTTTTCCTTCTGATAGACTGAAGGGTGATGTAAAATTAATTTCCTATCCCCCCACTGCACATAATCCCTGTTCTGTCTTTTCATAATACACAAGCTTCATTACTTCTTCAGCAATATTCTAGCCAAAAAATGAAAAAAAAAACACCCTTTCATCATTCTGTATATGGACATAGTTACTATGAAGTTATAATAAACATGTGCAAGACATTGGAATTTAGGAAACCTGGAAAGTTTTCAGGTTGGGCTACCATGCAGTCACCCACACTAATGAACTGCTTCTTGAAAAACAGTATATTAGAGAATCAAGTCCAAGCAGGTTATGAAAATTATCAAATTATTTAAATGCCCATGCTTTTAAAGGAAGGAAACCAAGGAAACCTGGAAGGAGAAAAATAAGAGATGATTAGGTGTGTAGACTATTACATGTGACAATTGAGCTGGAGAGGTTTACTGAGGGGATATGGGCATAGATAGAAGTTTGGGTAGCTGGGTAATCCAGTCATTTGTATGAATGGCAAGTATGACAAAGAAATACCTTTTACATATACCAGCTGTTTTAGAATTCCTCTTTCCCTGAAGTGCTGGATCAATTTCTCCAAGGATACATTACTAGGTTTTGCAGGTCTTTCTCATACTTGGACTCTGCTCAAAGAATTTGCAGGGAAGATCAGGGCACCAATCAATGAAAGTCCTTGCAGCCATTTGATTCAAGTTTTTTGTAGCTGGACTTTTGAGATATAGATCTGTTAATGTGTGTCAAATATATGCAGGGTGGTTTTTAGGGAAATCAACAGCCTGGTCTTTGTAACCTGCTTTGACGTGTCCAATCTCACTGAAAACTTTGCGCTGGCCAGAAGGAAACCCACTGCTCTCCAGCAGCTGGAGAAGCTCCAAGTGTTATTGCCCTTTCTAATTCACATTCTTTCTTCAAGTCAATTATTACCCTCATGTTCTTTGCTTGCAACTAGGAAATCAAAACTTTCTCTGTAAACAATAGGAAAACCTACTCTTGTTATAAATTATGTTTTTCACCCACTTTTGCTAAAAATACCCAAGATATGCCTGGAAATCCCTTTCAGAATGAAAGGGTTCAATGTATGACATGCCCAACATGCATAACACGCTTTACTACTGCAAATAGTATCTGGTACTAGCCACAGAACATGCTTAGCTTTATCCCCTATAACATTCAGCTCCATAGTATGTGGTAGTTTTAATATTATTTGATTATTGCTACTTCCTACCACTAGGATACACATCAAGAATACTGATCAGAGAAGCTCTCTACAAAACAGTATCTTTTTCAATTCTTCTGGCACAGGATATGAATCCTGGAAGAAACTGATGTAAATTTGATTCCTCTACCTTTAAAATATGTGTGCTCCACAGTGACCAGTGGGTAATTTGTACCTGGTCTGGGCTTTGACACAACTACACAGGCTCCTCCAAGAACAAAGAACAGGAATGCTTGCAGCCCTGACAACAGCTGTATCTGCAGGATGATTTGTACAGTTATTAGCTGGAAGTTACTTTCTACAGAGTCCCTTGTAGTCAATTCAGTGCTGTTGGAGGCTGCAGGATCAGCTCATCATCCTCCAGCCATTCTCTCATTAATACACCTCTGACCTGGAGGCCTATTCTGAGTGGGACAGAGACTCTCTAGTCAGTTAAATCACCTGTCTCTTGGCTATGCTGTGAAGACATAATTATAAGGATTAGAACAAGACCATTAATTTAGAGCAAAAATAATACTGTCTGTAGGACTTTGAAGATTTAAATTCCCAAGACTCAGTAGCAGAGCCCATGTTGTTGGACAGTGACCTATTGCTCTGTCCAGGTCTCACAGAGAATATTTATTTCATTAATACCTTCAGCATGCTTAGTAAGCACGTGGGCCATGTTCTTTCCAGCAAACAGCAGCTCTTTAACAAAAAAATGCCTTTTGAAGATGATTGTGAGTCTTGATTGTCTATGAAGGGAGACTAATGTAACTGGATAAGCAAGAACTTCAGTCTAAGTGAATCTATGCCATGTATTCTGTGATTCCTTTATGGAAGAGCAGTTCTGATATGCTGTGATGAAAGATGTTTTGGTAAGGGGGATGGCTTAAGGCCACCTTCTTTTACAGCTCACCTATCCAGGGAAATATAATAACTGAAGCACAGAACATGAGCTTTTGTTTTAACAAAGTTATTTTTCAGTTTAGAAATAGGAAGAATCTCCAAAACCTATGACACATCTAATTTTCCATGCCTCTGTTCCTAGGACTTGTGCTTTTGAGTGATTTGCCCAGAACCCTTTAGTGTGAAAAGGAAGTCCTCTAGCAATATAATTGTTTTCTTGATATATTTACACTGTAGTTTTGGGGGTATTTTGCTAGTCATGTAAAAAAACTGATGATAAAATATGTCCTTTTATCTCACCCACTTACCCTACATACTTAAAAATGTGATTTCATTTACCTGTTTCTTGTTCACAAAGTTTATTTGAAGGGTTGCTACTAGCCCTGCAATATGAATCCCGAACTCAGCCCATGGTGCATAGCTGAAGGAGCAAATCTTTACTCCATGTTTAAAGCTAACCTGAAATTTAATTACATGTAATCTGCTATTATTTTTTGGAGCAGTTAGATTTCACATACTCTGTAGATTAAAAGAAAGTTCTGAACACCCTGTTTTATGAGACCAACAAAGAAATAAAGATTATTCAGAATTGTTAAGGAAGAGGGTAAGAAAAGCAGGAAGCATACTTGGCACATCATTAAGAAATGATGTGCTGGAGAAACTGGAGTGGAGAAGAGATAGCAAATGGCCAAACATGAAAACAGAAAAGCACAAGTGCTAGATCAGGAAAGGAAACCAACTGAAAACATGAAAATGGGGGGGAAACAATGCAAAAGAGTTCATGATTGGTGCAGAATGATCAGGCCAAAGCTAATGAGCTTTTTCTCACACTCTGAAATCAACAGATCTACCACGTGCTCCAGCGAACTGTGGTTTCTTTCCATAGCAAGGCGGATGACTTTTCATCAGATGTGTCACTTGGTGAAATAATTGCCAGCAATAATGGTGCAATAGCAGCATACTCCGAGCACAATTTATCCATGTCTTTTCTAGCTTTCAACTTCAAAGCTTCTACTGCCTCACAGATCACATCAAAATGACACCTCTGTCGTTAATGACAGTGGTCTAATGCAATACCGAGAAGTCAAATCACTTCTCCAGATGGGCAGAATGCCTCATGCAGAAGCGAGGCAAGTGCACGGGTCCTGACATTCATATTCAGATTTGTATTTGTGGGGAAGAGGGTGGGTTTGACACACAGATGTATTCATATTTGAAACAGCCTGATTTATAAAGCACAAAATTCACTAAAATTAGAAAGGAGTGGGGACAAGAGTAGCATGCAGAGCCTTAACTTATGCAAAATGAATGCTTGGATGTAGAAAATTTCCCTTTGCACAGCACACAGCACGTGTTAGGCAGTGTCACAGGTCAGAGATGTGATTTGTCTTTAAAGAAAGAAAGAAAGAAACAAATTAGTCAAAAAAAAAAAAAGTTCCTTAAAATGCACACTGTCCTTGTAGGCAAATGCACATATTTGTCTGGATCTAGGAACAAAATAAGCTGCTGTGAAGCCTCTCCTGGTGGTCATTACTCAGGTAAAGAAGAAAGCTGGCAAACTGAAGTTATTAAAAAGAAAGAATTGTCTGTTTATTTTCCAGAGCTGTTTGAAAATTACCATAGAACAGTAAATCTCTAAATATGAAAAATATTTATTCTTCTTACATAGTATACATAAACACACATGCAGCCAACATAGTGGCAGGGACACCATTTGTTTAAGTTTCATTAAGATGTGTAGTTAAAAGCCTTATTAAAAGGGTCCATTTCTCACTTCAGTGAGTTCAGTGAAATTTATTGCCTGAGGGTTAAGTAATGCTTCAGAGGAAAAATGAGATTTAGGAATATTTTCATATGTTACCATATACATTTCCTATAATGGCTGCTTGGATGGAGGATTTAGACTTCACTGTATGTTTTCACAGTGCTTTATGTATTAAAATAGACAATCAAACGAAATAACCATCTCTCAGCTTCACCTCTAAGAAAAAAAAAAGGAAAAAAATCTTCTTTGGGTAGAAAGCAAGGCCAATTTTTTTTGTAACAGATTTATTTTTCTCAGTTATTACTGCTATTCTACAAACATGGTTAGAAGGACTTAGTTAAAAAGACAAATAAAGAAAGGGAAAGAAATGGAAAAGGAAAATGTTCTCAAACCCTGCATTTTGAACTGTTTGGATGGTGAAAAGGAGATGTTCTATAGCAACCATTAGCAGTGTACTGCCATTGAATAAGGTCTATAGTGTAAACTACTAACTAAATAATTGTGTGCTTTATTTTTTGTGCTGGTGGCCTTGTTATTTATTGATTGTAGGCATGTTGGAAAAGTCTAACTTGAAAATCAGTTCTATGAATCAGATTTTTCTCCTAGACCATGATTATGGTCCAGGAGACTGCTTCCATGAAACTGAAAATCCCCATGGACTGGGGAAGTTTACAGAGGCATGAAGAGATCATGTACATCAAAATACAGTGCCCTGAAAACTGCAGTCATTGTCCAGTGTTTTGTTCCTTTGGTTTTTGGTTTGGTTTTTTTTTTTTAATTATTTATCTTAAAACTGTAGAAAGGAGACTGCAGAGAGATTGACACTGCTCAGTTGCTGCTGCCCTCCTCATCAAGGAAACAAATTTCAAGTAACATTAATTTCTTGTTTCGTAAACATTCAATGGCAGCTCACTTGTTAGGCCTTGCTTTGGGATAAGGAGGAGGGAATAATGGTTTGGCTTTTCCTGAATAAATTTGAATATTTATTAATACTATTACTTTCAAGCCAGCTTATTTAAGCAATAATTTTAATGAAATCTTAATGTTGAATTCTTCTAGTGTTTAATTCATAATTTTTGTGTTAATTTATGTCCATGACCATAGACCCTTGACCTATGACCACACCAAATTTCACTCATATTTTTTGGTAAATGTTGAAATCAGTTCTCTTTTTGTGCATAGACTCCCCTCTATCAGAAATAGCTCCCAGTTGTGCTCTGACAGAGTAGTAGAGCACAAAGTTTCTCCAAAGTTTTCAGGACCATCACTTTACTTTCAATCAGCAATTATTGGTTTTGATTTTTTCTTAAATTGACCTACAGTTTTAAAATTAAGAGACTGTCTACAATTTCAATTTATTACTTTATTTAACTTTATTTACTTCATTTTTGCCTCAGTTGGCTTTCCTTCTATTCTAATTTTTTCATAATGTTTCAGCAGGAAAAAATACAAAAGCAGGAGTTGGAGCAGCAACAGAGCATTTCCAGAAA